CCAGTTATTGCTTTTCACAGAGGAACTAAGAAAATCACAAAAATTTGTGATTGCTATCAGAGAGAGAAACTTCTTCACTAGAAAAACTGCTCTTTGTAACTTAGGATGCCGAAACACATTCCTAGAAAAGTAATCTGAGTAATCTTTTTCTTTACTTTTTCTTTCTTCATTTCGGCAACACCACTGGAGAGCGTTTTGAATACGAATCAATGATGAACAAGTTAGCAGTTGTTTCAGGCATTTAGGCAAATATTTCTCTTGAAGTACCATTAAGGCAGATAAAATATCACTAATACTGCACGCGATCTCTATTTAAAGCCCACGATATTCCTAATAATTACCTACGCACTAGACATGACTATGTCAATTCTATCAGTGCAAGTGGACTACACAGATTACGTGCTGGCACATGCTAGGGGGTCAAACCTTTATTAACTTGCTTGCAAGAAATCTTTGAAAAAGGAACCCATCGGCAGCCTTATTGGAGAATGGTTGATGTTGGGCCTGCCACCAGTCGAGTTTCTTCTAGACTGCCTCTTTCTGAGAAGGAATATGGAGAGGGTTCTGATTCCGATGCTGGCATAGTAAATTTTTGGGAAAAATAGTACCGGCCCCTCTTATATTCGATTTTCCTCCTTTCCACGGATTAATTTGTTCCAGGAATCGCTGCTCAAATTTAAAAACTGTTAACGGTTGATTGCACGCTGGCGAACTGCCGGCTTCTAGAACTCAGTATTTTTTTTTTGGTAATGAAAAGAACAAAAAGACAACTAAAAAGCAAATAAATGTGATGGCGTGCTTGACTTGCTAAAAACTCTAAGGCTTTTAGCAAATTTGTCCAGCTAAAAGGTATAGTAGACCTAAAAGCGTTTCAACATTCTTCCGGCATTCCTGTAGTCATGTGGAAAATTGAAAGCCTTAGTACTTCAGAGTAGTGCTCCAGAGTGGTACTTCATTTTGAAAAGCCCTCTGAGACTCATACATGCTGAGACAACCCAGAGTCAGTTTACGCAACGAAAACAAATCGTTGGAAAATTAATTTTTGCCAATTTCATTGGACATTGAATTAGGAAAAAAAGAGTTGAAGTGCATTTTTTTGCATAAATAAAGCTATAAAAAAAGAAATTGCTGATGAATACAATACAAGATAATGAGATACACATCAATCCAGGACTGCGACTACACTTTCAATGTTAAATTTTTTTCAAGATGGGGACAGCAGTTCAATTCAATTGCGGTGTGCATGAATGTTGCTGGCGTGATCATGTATTTTTACGAG